AGATATAGTTAGCCACTAAAGCAGTGAGACAAGAACTAGATCCCACAGTGGATAAGATGTAGTTAGCCACTAAAGCAGTGAGACAAGAACCAAATACCACAGTGGATAAGATGTAGTTAGCCACTAAAGCAGTGAGACAAGAACCAGATCCCACAGTGGATAAGATATAGTTAGCCACTAAAGCAGTGAGACAAGAACCAGATCCCACAGTGGATAAGATGTAGTTAGCCACTAAAGCAGTGAGACAAGAACCAGACCCAACAGTGGATAAGATATTCAAGCACCTTTTTATGGCATGGCCTCTGGGTAATGGTTTATACAACAGACCAACATCATGGAGGACTCAACAGTTCCTGATCTCACAGATTCCACTGGTTTCTGAACATCAACAGACCCGCTGCACATGAAATTTAGTACACCAGTTCTAAGCTGTCCATAACTTCTGCTTCTCCGCACCCTCCAGCCAAATCTGGCATCGCAGGTTTCTGTAGGTTGGGCAGTCGTGAAGGATGTATTTAAGGTTGAGAACTCCAGTCCCACATGGACATCCATCTGTGTAGGTGATTGTTAGAGCATGTGACTCATTCTCTGCCAAAATTAGGGGGGGGGGGGGTGTGTAGTTTGTCTATGTCCTTGAGTGTTGGTAGATCGTGTTTGGTCAGTTATCCATGTCTGGTTTTTTTTGGGTTTTTTTTCAACTGTTCAGATACTCTACCACAGCCTTATAAATCTGAAATGATCAGCTCCCCTCTTCACCATTTAATCCTTAGATAGAACTCTGATAGCCATTTTGAGGTGGAGTTTTTCATAAAGCCACAAGAACTCAGAAATAATCCTTTTTTTTTTTTCACATGAGGAGAAAATTTGAGTATTTGTTGGCAAGGATGTGCATCAGCTACTATGACAGCTTTCAGGGTATGAATCATTATCATTCGTAATCAAATGTCTTACCAACTGACATAGGTGATCACACAATTTCACAACTCACATTCTCAAATATGTATCAACACTGTGAAGGAAGACAATCCAGCAGCACTTCTCTCCCCTGGCCTCATTTTTTAATCATTTTACCTGTGTTCCAGGTCTTTTCTTCTCAAGATATGTATGGCCCAAGAAATTTGACTGCTATATCTTTTCTGTTCCCATTCAATTTCTGAGCATTCCTAATGTATGCAGTAGTAAGTTACTTTTACATATATATAAAAACTATGTGCTGACGGCACAAATACACCCAAAAAAAAAAGACAACCAAGACTTATTTTAAAGGAATCCAAATCACTCTTCAACTATGTGTCTATAGCTATCATTCACATCTAGCAATAAACAAAGTTGCATAGTTGCTTAAAACTATAATTAAAATATGAAAAACATCATGATAATCATTAGAACAATTGAAAATATACTGTTTTCTGGTGTGATATATGATAAAATGTTACAGAGTTAAAAAAAAATTAATAAGTTAAAATTCATAGTACAATTGCAGTGGCTAACACATTTGCCCGTGGGACTGGTGGTTAAAGGTTTGAGTCCTTATTGTGGATTGTTAAAAATGTGTCCTTGTTTTCCCAGGTTGACGCAGGCTAAAAGTGAATCAGAAAATGTTCTGAAAAGTTAAGGTGGCCAGTGTGATAGTGATCACATAACCAGCTGAGTGACAACTAGCATTTACAAATGTAGGCTTGGCAGATAAGTTCAATATGCTTATAGCTGAAGAAATGGGTCCTTTACCTAACTACACAGCAACATTTGGACACATACAACTTCCAGATAGTGCTGACACTGGCTTTAAGAGTTTAGAAATGTACTATCCAACAAAGTTTTTTGGCAACAGCAATAACAACAACAACAAAACAACAACAAAAACAGGGTCCTGGCAAACAACCTTCACATACACAGTTATTATGAAATGCTATTCTATAAACTGTAAACGTCCTGCTGAAAAGGGCTGACAAGCGGTGTCAGTGTTACCTCTTCCCCTCTCCGCAAAGAAAAAAAAAATGGACACAGTGCCTCTTAGCAACCATGTGGTAAGAGGTGACTGATTAAGATGTGTTCAGCGGACAGCCGCAAATGTTAAAATGTAGCTTTAACCACAACACAATGTGCCAATCGGCCACACTATTGTGAGGTACCATCCCACAGACCAAACATTTCATAAACAAACAATACAGAATGTAACAATTAATCAGTGCAGAAAATAAACAGACCACCTCTGTCAAAGTTCAGGCTCTCAACAACTGAGGTTACAAACCCTATGGGTCACAAAGAATATTCAATTAGTGGTTGTAGCACTAAATATTTTTTTTTAAACATGTCCCTCAAGGGCTGCCACGACAGATATTTAAAATCTGCCAGATTCACTTAAATTAAATATCTTTAATTTCACCACATCATGCAAATTAAAAACTGTAACTTTTCTGTGGGGTGAGGGAAAAGGGGAGGGGTGGGGGGGGGGGGGGGGGAGATAAACCCACTGCTTCCTTAGCTGTCACAACAAGGACTTCATGTTTCCAGTTTTTTGTTTTTTTTTAATCACATGAAATCTGTGTGTGCAGTGGCCACCACACCTGTTTAACAGCTTTAGTACCAGCTGCAACTGCATACTGTGTTGTGTAGACAATATGGGAATGGCTCTATATATATACAAACAATTCAGATATTATTATGGGTTTTAAAAAATTGCTTTTTTAAAAAAAAAAAACATGATGTAATCAAAATAACATCCTCATTATGAGCTCACTGAGCTCCGTATCCTTTGCTGTCTCAGCAAAACGCCTGGTTTCATGGCTGCAGGGAAAGCAAGTAGTTAATTAATTCTTCGCTCTGTTTATTTTTTATATTTCCCTTCACATAACAAATGACCATTACCCAAAATACTGATCTGAAATGGGTGAACAAATGTTACAGATTTAGACAGTGACCTGACGACTTCCTGCTTCCCTGTTTGCTCAGTGGTCTAGGGATTTGATCCCCTAGAGCAGCAGTTCTCAACCAATGGGTCACAACCCCTTTTTTTGGGGTCAAACGACACTTTCACAAGGGTCGCCAAAGACCATTGCAAAACACATACTTCCATATGAAGTAGCAAGGAAAATAATTGTATGGTTGGGGATCACCACAACAAGAGCAACTGTATTTAAAGAGTCGCTGAATCAGGAAGGTTGAGAACCCCTGCCCTAGAGTTTTATCAAATTTGACTCTAAATCTGTCCTCATCCTCCTTCTCCTCTTCCTTCAGTTTCTTAGTCAGAGAATTCTATGGATAAAAAAAAATTTTTTAAATAGAGAAATTTGGAAAACTCACATTTTTTTTTTCCTAATGATTCTTATGGGGTGAAAGGGTTAACATGCCTGCCGTGAAGTGTGAATTAAGGGTTTGCTAACACTAAAGTGTCACGGCAAATGACAAAGACATCGCAGCCACAACCAATATGCTAACAGCCCTTGTGAGGGTGACTGCAGACCGAGAAGAAAGAAATATTTCAAATTACAAGCATCCAACAATTATTTTGCAAAGGCAGGCTTGTAAAAATTTGTCAAATGTCTGCCATTGCACATTTCGAAGCCTGTCTACAAATAAAATGGACATTTACTATGTGTTACAAATGGGAAGATCATAAATAAAATCATTCAGATGAATATTTAAAAACAAACATCTCACCCTTAGCCTATCAGAGAAATTACAGTAGACTTATTTCCCAACATAACGGTCCATGCTTAACCAGACAGCCAAGGCAGGATTCATATTCACCTTAGAAGATCAAGAAGACGATAAAAAGGATAACATACAGGCAGAGCTGCAAACACCTGCTAACAAAACAGAGAAGGCCAATTAGACAGTCTAATGGAGGTGGGTGAAATCTGCAGCAATGAACCTCAAGGGCTCAGAATGCTGAAGAAGAAGAATTACAGCTCTGGGGTCAACAAAGCCTCACAGTATGGGTGCCAGAAATGTTTGTAATCAACTCAGAGGGACAGGCCAGAAAGATTAAACACTGACCATCCCACCTGACTGAACATGTGAAAGTCTAACACTTCATTCTCCATCCCCCATTTGTGCATGAGCGTCTTAGCGTGCAGTATAAGCACATGTTTGTTTATGTATAAGGGTGGGTCTTTGTGTGGGTATACATGAGTGTTGGTGCATGTATGTGTATGTACGAGGTGCATATATGTGTATGGATGAGTGAGATGGAGTGCAAGTATGTGTGTGTGCATGTATGAGTGTTTGTATATACGAGTCTGTGTGAGTGTGTAAATATGCAGATGCAAGATTTTGTGTACCTGTGTATGTTCACCCAGCCTTTAGGTAATGGGTACCAGAGTTAACGCTCTGGGGTAAATGGAGGAACGTCGCTGTAGCTACAGAGCTGTGTGCGGACGGCGACACAGGCAGACATTTTCTTATCAGCTGTCCATGTTGGTGGCAGAGCACTTATGGTTAACAGTTTGCAATGACGCTGGTTCACATCTCCCGACTTTACCTTTTAACATGCTTTATTGACAAAATACAATTGTTGTGTGGAAGATCAGTGTTAAGAAGCGATGAGTGTTTGGAAGGTCAGCTGTAAGGGCCAATTGTAAGCATATAGGCTGTCTGCCCAATTTGTGACCCTTTGAAAATAAAATGTGTTCGTTCATTCCCCAATGGGAATAACATACAGGCAGATTTTATTATCTATGGCACATAATTTTCCTTTTTTTTTTTTAAATCCTATTTAAACTGAGTTTTAAAACAAGGAGGTCATATATCCAAACTAAAAAAAAAAAAATGGATCATACGCAACCCAGCTTATAGCTGCACTGCATGTAATAGATCAGTTTTCTCTAGCAGTTACCCATAGCAACACAAAGTTTTCAGATATAACATCTGAAGCAACAGAAGAGAACAGAACAAAACTAGAATCTTACAAATGGAACAAAGAATTTTTTTTTTTAAACAAATAAAAAGTTCAGTAACATGATAGAAAACTGGAGTATCTAGAGAACTTTTTCAAATATCTACGATGCAGGTTTTGCTCTGGTTCGGATGACACCATTTACCGAAGAGACTGCCTGCTCCTTCTTTGATCTGCCATTGTTCTCTGTGCTTCCTTGACTTTTCTCTCCATCTGATTCACTTTCTGATTCCAAGCTGCTGCGAGAATCCTTTTGCACCTGCAACAGCCAAGTTGTTAAAAGTTGTATTCAAAGTCTATTTTAAAACATTTTTAAATAAGAAATTAGTTATCCGATGGTGCTTTCCTGTTTAAACAAAATAAAATATGCATAGTGATCAGAGGGCACATTTTAACTAGCTGACGGGAAAACCTGTACACCTATAAACTATCAATGACATAGATGTAAAATAACTGCCAACTGACTGGCTCAACCTTAAGTGTCAGTGTGTTATCCTTATGATGTTTGGTGTGGATTTCAATGCCTCCCCCCTTTGAAGCATCTTTATCAGAACTATATAAACACACCTGTGTCTTATTGTTGCAATAATACTGCTCGCTCAGTGAAAAGCATGAGAAGCTCTTTATTCCGACTTAGTTGGGTAATTTTCAGATGTTACTCCTGCACTTCAGAACTATACTTGTCAGATATTGTCAGCTTATAAATGGCTCCTGTGTTAGCGATTTATACATAATATATTTTTCTAATATTTTAGATCAGTTTCTGGTACATTTTCATGTCGTCTGTGGGTTGTTGTTTTTTTGTGTGCAAAATGATTTAGACTTTTCCTCAAGTTAGATTATCTCTGGATATTTCTGGTGTGTATGTTTTGAAAGAAATATGAGCTTTTCCAACTGAGTGAGAGTATGTTACTGTCAACAGCACGGCTATTCAACTAAGTTTGTTTATGGGCCAAAATGTTGAAACAGGGAAATAGCCCCAGCACAAAAAGATTACTGATACAACTGGCAATGACCCATGGGCCACTTTCCAGGCCTCTGCAGGCCAGATCTGTCTCCTGGGCTGCCAGCTAAAGAGCCCTGGTCTACAGGGAATCCAGACTGCAGTTTCCTTTATGGTGGTGCTTCTCGTTTCTCAAAGGGTTATTCTTAATCCCATATTTTAAAATGTGCATATTTTTCCCCTTAAGTTTGTTTTTGCTGCTTTATAATTTAAAAAAAAAAAACTGAAATTTGTACACCAGTACAGACTTACCAGAGGAAATTGATGAAATTAAAATGTCTGAACAACCATTTGAATCTACACGTACAGGACAGAGAAGACAGCACTATACTGGACACAAATAGAGAAGATGGAACTATACTGGACACAAATAGAGAAGACGGCACTATACTGGACACAAACAGAGAAGACGGCACTATACTGGACACAAACAGAGAAGACGGCACTATACTGGACACAAACAGAGAAGACGGCACTATACTGGACACAAACAGAGAAGGCGGCACTATACTGGACACAAACAGAGAAGAAACAGAGATTCACCAAACAGGCGCTGCAAGGAGAAATAGGTAGATCAAGGAAATAAAGATGTCTAAGAGAAACCTTAAGGTGAACACCGACGAGAGAAGCCAAAGGGGCTGGACTAGATTCCACCCACGGAAGTGATTGCACAGGACAGAATGAAATGGAGGAACAGACTGCAAGCTATGTGCGACATTTAATGGTCCAACAGGACAATGTAGAATACATGAAAATACTTACTTGTCCTTTGAAAGCATCTTTAGCTACCAGGCAAATGTAGTAAAACCAGATTATGTGCAGGACTTGCAAAACACAGAGGAGCATGTTGTAGACAGAGTACATGGTGAGCCAACCAACAGTGGCATCGTTAAGGCAGTCTTCACCTAGAGCCTCAAACAATGTCGAGCGAATGATTCTGTCAAGTTTAAAAAAGAAAGTTAGTTGTTTTTCCTTGACAGGAAGTTGCAAATATGAAACTCTGCATCTGTGACTGTGGTTTTAGTTGGTAATTTTTTTTTTTTAAGTTAAGTATTTTGCCATTGCTTTCTTATTGTTTCTGCTACCCATGATGGTTCTGGAAAACCACTTGGGGAGGGGGCTTAAGAATCCCCCCCCCCCCCACCCTCAAACCTAAAAAGCATGTTATAAAAAGCAATCAATTAGGGGTTAGCTGAAATCAGAGGTGGCAAAAAAGTGCAGATATTGCAGCCTAGCTGTAAACTACCACACAACATGACAACCACTTTTTTAAGAGCAAATGCAGAGGAGGAGGAGAAGGAGGAAGCAGCAGCAGGAGAAGGAGGAAGAGAAGGGGCAGAAGAAGAACAAGAACAAGCAGGAGGAAGATGAGGAGGAGAAGAAAAAGAAGGATGGTTCAGTTCTCATACCATGGTCAAAATTAAACTCAAAGGCAGTCTCTGCTGTTAAACTGCCCTCAACGGAATCGATACGTATAGTAAGAATAATGAAACTGTGCTCATAACCCCCCAGGCTACTGAGGCCAATGATTCTAGGAAGAGAGGAGCTACGTGACTAGTATGTAACTAAAGTTTAAATACCAGTCTTTCAAAATAGGAGACCCTCCTTTGGCAAAGGTTTTGGCTGCTTGGTGGTAATATTAAAACTGTGGTCTGTAGTGAACTTTGTCAAGTTAGTTTTGGAGCAAATTTGGCAATTACTGTGATGCTTATTATAAAACAAGTGTTGAAAGACAGGTAGGGTATGTCAGTTGTCATTTTAATTACCAAGCAAAGGTTTCAAAGGCTGTTGTCATGATGAGGCACGACCAATTCGCATGTGTAAGTGTTAACAAGTAATCATTACATTGGACAGGGCATCTCGTGATATTTTCCTCCTTGTCGCTTCACTGTTGAGAATGTGCATGCCCAGCTGGCACAGTAGTAATAGTAACTGGTAGCTGTCACAAGTTACAGTTTTTTGCAGATCTTTAAAACAGTGCTGCCTGCAAAACACAAGTTCTGGAACAAGACAAAAGTCCAGAACTAGATGAACAGCCAGAACAAGACAAAAGTCCAGAACTAGATGAACAGCCAGAACAAGACAAAAGTCCAGAACTAGATGAACAGCCAGAACAAGACAAAAGTCCAGAACTAGATGAACAGCCAGAACAAGACAAAAGTCCAGAACTAGATGAACAGCCAGAACTTGCCGCAAGTTTACAGCTGGTGAAGGCCAAAAAAAAAGTGAAGGAGGAAGAGAAGAATCATTGCCAGCCCAGTTTTGTTATTATTAGGCTCAATGCCTGGTTTTGAATTCTAACTGCAGTGAAAATCCCACCCCTTTTTCACACACACACAGTGTAAGAAGTATATGTGGCATGCTCCCCTGCCTGCACACACGTAACATATACACAAATATATATAGTGCCCTACTGCACAGAGATTTCATTACCTGCATCAGAACATGAGATACCTACCACATGCTTTGGGCAAGTCATGAGAACAGGTGCAAACCTAAGTTCATCATGACAATAGTAAAGTTGGAGAGAAAATAGGCAGAAAAACATGGGGAAACATCTAAAAAAAAAACTGACTGTAGCCTGATACAGCAGGTTATGTATAGATGTGACGACTAATACCACCCTACAGGGCCTAGAAATAGTGCCATCAAGCAAGAACTGACTGCTTGCAGACCATAAATTACTTTTATCCCAGAGACCAGACAACATTCATCTTCCTTTTCTGCATTCACTCATAAAAAACAGTTGGCACATTGTGTTGTGGTTAACAGCTAAGATGTGACCTTTCACCCCAACATATCCATAATCAGCTGCCTCTTACAACATGCCTGTGGGGCCTCAGAACCCATCAGGGACAGCATTCAAAACATGTATTACTTAAATAAACTCACCTGAATGGGAAGATGATCATCCTTGTTATGATCCAAACCAGCATGAAAATGTAAAAGAATACTTCACAAACCCTGTCATATCCAAGATATTTAGCTACTTTGCCAAACTGCAATGAAAAAACACAATTACAATTTCCCAAAATGCCAAAGCTGAAATCAGGACATAGTTCTTTACAGAATATCACTTCCAGCACAGTTTATATGAAAGAAACTTGGTCACTCGCCAGCTCTCCTGCCTTAAGCCCTTTCCTGCCCAAGAAGTCTCTTACCCAGTACCACCCCCTTCACTGCAATGTTTGATATGGCCAAGGTATTCCAGTTTCTCAGACAAGATGCTGAAAACAAACTTTAATATTTCAGTCTTTTCTTTCAGTTATGAGTTATTTATCCTAGGGCACTCTAGCCTCGTCCATGGGGGCTGAGATTCTCTCTTCAACATAGACACCAGCCTGATGTGCCCAGTGATCATCTTCAACACCCAAATATTTTATTCTTAGCAGTGATGTGCACACATTGCCCTCACAATCCTCCAATCTTCTGTCCCCCTCTCTATTTTCCCCATCACGTTTGCTAACTAGCACCAAGTTTTTTAAATTACTGTTTCTCATGTCTTACAGTCGTAAAATGAACTGACAAAACTAAGTTTAAGATCCTTTTTCAAACCACAAGACGTACATGTATAAATCTGTATAGATCTTAGGTCAGATCAATTTCAAGCCAGTCAGTTTTACTTCTCAGCACACTTTCTGCTACCCCTATTGGGGCAAGTCAATCTTGAAGCCTAGATCAATTTGTTTTTAAATACCAAACCTGAGGGGATGTGAACATCTGGCCAGAAGAAAAGCAACCTAACAACAGTGCTATACCATGGCTCTAAAGAAGGTGAAAAGGTCAGATGCACATCCTTTACATAATACTGCAAGCCAACTACAGCATTTGTTGGCTGGTCGCCATTACTTTTTATGTGGTATGACATTCATGTTATTGTCGAAATCAACACACAGTGTTCTGCTGACAAATTCATCAAGATAAAGATGATTACTGCAGTGAAAACTGAAAAATAAATTATTCAAATTTTAAAAAACCTCAAACAGAATAATAAAAGACATATACAGTCAACAAGCAGAAGCCCTAAAAAACTAATAGCCAAAACTGGAGTAAACCATGATGGTGGGAACAATGAAGGGAAAAAACTGGCAGGAGGAGATCAAGAGAGAAGATGCTAGACAGACACCATGGCATTCATGATCACCTGTGTCAGAATTGATAGAAGGTACACGAGACAGAAGGCTGTGTGTGAACATGTCTACCAATGCCGCACTGCATATACTATAAGAAGAAGTAAAATCATTTTTTTTTATTTTAAAAGTTACAGAAATGCTTAAAATCTTCATATGCCACATGACAGTTCCAAATTAACAACAAGCAAGGTAGGATCTCTGCATACAAATAAATTCACCTCCATCCATGAATCCACAGCGTCATGTATTACAAGGACCAGAGTTCCGACTCGAACAAAATTGCTGATCCATGACAGCATCATCAACAGTAGCGTGGCCACATGGTGGATCACCATCTGAGAGAAGTCCTGCATGACAAACATTAACAGAGATATAAATCAGTAATGCTAAAGAAATCAGCATTGCATGACAAACATTAACAAAGATATAAATCAGTAATGCTAAAGAAATCAGCAATGTGAAGCTTATGGAGAAAACTAAACAAATTCTAGTGAATCCACCGGTGAAGAAAGGATGCTGGCATTCGATAGGGTATATAATGAGAAAATCTGATAATACAACGAGGTTGTCCCAGTATTGGAACCCAAGAAGAAAAAGAAGACCGAAAAATAACACATACAGAGAAGTGAATTTGATTAATGATATAGTGAGGACACGTAGTAAGCTGCAGGGATGGCAAAAGACAGGACGACCTGGTGTGAGTTGATGAAGGTCTATGTTTTGGGGAATAAAGGGAAGAGAAATGCTGTTAATGTTTGCTATGAGAGAAAATCAATAAGTCAGTCACAAATGGTTATGGGATGGCAGGAAAATGTAGTTGGTGGTTTCTAAAGGTGTCATTAGGTGACAGCAATATAAAGTTTTATATCTCCATTCGTTAGGTGGCGCTAGGTGATGCAGGCACATTCGCAACACAGAAAAAAAATGGCGATTTCACTTACAGAGTGTACCCTCAAAGAACAATGTGCTGTTTTGCGGGGGGAGGGGCAAAAGGGCTGCCTGCAAAGGACATTCGTAAGGAAATGCTTCCTATTTATGCTGACAAATGTTTATCCCGTAAAGCGGTGCATAGCTTGGTAAAAAAAACATTTCTCAAGGACACTCATGATTGTTGATGAAGTCGGATCTGGTAGCTGAGATTGCAAGAAAATGAACTATTCACCCTACTTCACTATGCTACAACACTGGATAGGCTCAACTCTACATATCTTTTATCTGATGCTTTAATCTACAATATTTTTATTTTTTATAGAATATGGGACAATTGTTACTTCCTATTGTTATCTATTTTTAATTGGGCTGAGGTTAGCTGAGTTTAGAACTGACATAACAGCAGAGTTCCAACTCTGATGTTGCCAACCAAAGTTTGATTACATATGCGTCTTGCCTTTCTTTTGAGTGTAGAGCGTTGACCAGATCCCCTGGTCAAGCCTAGCTGTACCATTTTCTCCAGACCATAATGATCTATTTGTGCCTCCTCATTGTTCATTTACCATCAAAAGGCCTTGATTCCATCTAGCTTGCCATGCTTAAATTCCCAACCTTCCTGCATCTCCCGGAGAAAATATCCACAACATCTGAAGAGGTTCAATATGACATTTCAGTATATGTCTTTTTTTTCTTCTTCTTGGGACCCTTTTCATGCCTTTGGCACATCAGGCATTAAGTGCTAGTCCTACATTTACACAGAATGATCAGCCCACGATGGTGATGTGGTCAACATCATGCCAATCATCTTTACTTCCTACCTTTCCACCACGCCTTGAGATGTATGGACATACAGGACTAGACCTATATTTTATAGACCAATCGGCAGTCGGTGTGTGATATGGTTAACATCACACAGCCACCTTCACTTGCCTGGACTTCACCCATTTAAGGCTGGATCGACCTGGAAGCCGAGATAAGCGACTAGCCACTACACCATGGCGTCTCCTAAGAAGTAGTAGCTGTAATAATGAAATGACATGCAAGCAGTTTGCAAGATGTATTTTCTAAGTCATAATTTTTCACAAATGACAGATTTCAATGTAAAAGTAAAGTACTAAAAGCAGCTGGACTCTACCTTTCTCTTGTGATCTGTGAATAATGAAAACAGAAGGCTGATGTAGAAGGCCCCTTCAACCATGTAATACCAGTAAATGTCTTCTGAAACATGCTGTCGAACAAATGTTTTTAAAAAAAACAATTTAACAACCATGTTTAAAACAATGGGTTCTATATTTTTTACGTACCCCTGATGTCACAATGACGTCACGGGAGACATTCCCAATAAATTCTAGGGTGTTCAGGTTGCAGTTTCTCGCGGTTTCTCTACATCCAAGTTGTTCACATCGCAAAAGCGCGCACTTGCAAAGCACGCACGCTTGACTATGACGTGCAGTGTTGCCACTTCGGATGTTTTACATCCACATTTAGATGTTTTTCCTTCCATTTAAATGTCTTTTTGACGTTTAAATGGTAGATGCTTTTCATTTGGAGTCAAATATTTTTTTTCTTATGGTAGATGTTTGTTTTTCTAGATGCTTTTCATTTGGAGTTAAATATTTTTTTTTCTTATGGTAGATGTTTTTCTAGATTCTTTTCATTTGGAGTTAAATATTTTATTTTTTGTTCTTTCAGTTATTATTTTTTTTTTCTTTCAGTTACTTAAACTTTGAACTCTCACTGGGGTCAAAGCTCAAATATCTGGCAGCCCCGGTACTGATTAATTAAAAGGGCGCGCAAATCACACTTACTTTGTTTTAACCGTATCCTCACTGTGCTAACTTTGTGTTTCTTTTTCATGTGATTTTAAAAAAAATAATTGCTCACCTTCATATGTGGCTTTCACTTTGAAAAAACATTTCAACATGCTAAAAGTAAAGTATGAGCAAAAATATTGGCAGTTCCTGGGGATATCACCAAGGCTCGTTGTAAGTACTGTCATAAATCTTTAAGATCTTTTTTGACTCCGTTTTGGATGTTTTTGTCAAAGAAAAGTGGCAACACTAATGACGTATGTTTACCGCTCTTTGCCGCGTCAGTCAGTTGCCATTGTTTCCAGCAGCGATCGTTCAACACATTACGTAGTGTAAAAACATGGCTTAGATCTGCAATGTCAGATAAACACACACACACACTTTACATTTTTTTTTAAAACGTTGTGACAACAAAAACACACACACACACACAATTTACATTTCATTTAAACAAAACAAAAAAATTCACAATGGATGAAAAGCATCACGTCGGTATTGAACGCGGTATCTTTCATTTATGAGGCGGATGTGATACCAACTACGCTATACACTCACATGTTGACATGTTCTAAAAACATGACTAATATTGTAGACCGGCCAATTGCGCATCAACAAGCAGCCAAATGCGCACTAACAGACAGAAATATGTCGCACCATAAGACACTAGATGAACACTCAAAAACAGCAGCAGACAGCAGCACACTTGCACCCCTTGAAATAATGGACTGTCAAGTCAGCTGTGGAATTCCCATGGAAATTTCGTGTTTGGGGGACGTTAAAAATTAAAAACCAGAACATTAACACACAAAATTATTATACTGAATTCCCCCCCCCCCCCCCCCTTTTTAGCAGGATGATGATGATATTGGCGATGATGAGGATTGATTTTCGACTACTCGGCGATGGATGGCTAGTCGTCTAGATAATCGGCTTAAGCACTGAGTTTATCCCATATGGCTTTGACGCTAAAAAATGACAGCTAATACAAAGTTGTGAACAAATGTAAGACTCAAAAAGAGTTGTACCGTTCTGGACACAACCCCCCCCCCCCAGCTATTAACCATATTTACTGCTTGTCCAATAGCCCAAATGTCTTGAGTTCATATCTGCACAGACACATTTTTTTTTTTAATGACTTTAGTTCCCAGGTCCAACCTGCTTAAAATGGGTACACATGTAATAGTCTAGGAAGCGATAATCATATCATCCACAAAGTGCCAAATGGTCTATAAACATATGAGTCAAGCGCTATATGCCTTGTCCGCCAATGGTACAAAGAAAAGGGTCATCTAATTTACTATCTTTGTTATTTTTATTAATATAGGATACATGGAAAAGTATAATGGGGTCATGTGTTCAATGCTGTCAGATCACAGAACAAGACTATTATTATATCTGAATACTTCATTCATTTAATCCAATCAGACATAATGATCATTCATAGAGAAAGTATACTCACATGATGTGGCCAGCCTTTCCACATATACAGAGTGTCATAAAACCAGGGTTTCTGAGGATAAAATACAAGACTCATATAAAGGAAAATGTATTGCACCATATCTTACAGTGTCTGTTGGGAAAACCACCATATCTCACAGTGTCTGTTGGGAAAACCACCATATCTCACAGTGTCTGTTGGGAAAACTACCATATCTCACAGTGTCTGTTGGGAAAACCACCATATCTCCCAGTGTCTGTTGGGAAAACTACCATATCTCACAGTGTCTGTTGGGAAAACCACCATATCTCACAGTGTCTGTTGAGAAAACCACTGTATCGCACAGTGTCTGTTGGGAAAACCACCATATCTCACAATGTCTGTTGGGAAAACCACCATATCTCACATTGTCTGTTGAGAAAAACACCATATCTCCCAGTGTCTGTTGGGAAAACTACCATATCTCACAGTGTCTGTTGGGAAAACCACCATATCTCAGTGTCTGTTGGGAAAACCACAAAATCTCACAGTGTCTGTTGGGAAAACCACCATATCTCCCAGTGTCTGTTGGGAAAACTCAATAGAAATTTAAAATTTAGTTGTAACTGTCATCACCTTTTACGCTAAACATAAATACCTATGAAACAAATTAACACTGACCATGAAACAAACTGTTAAACACTGAGTTCATATCATTATAGAGATGCACATGTATGCTCAGTCTTCATCTCAAAGAGTTTATAAACAGTTTCTTCTAGTGACAGCTGATTAAGTATCTTCTTCTTTTTGTTCATCCGAATGACATAATTGTGTTGTGCCTGTATACAGCACAGATGCTGCATTTGCACCTTTCGGCCAACTAATCCAACTTTGTTGAACATTTTGTTATCATTTTAGCCTTTCCGGATAGTTTCGTGGGACATGGTGTGGCCTTATTTCTGTGGTGTCTTCTTTGTTCCTTTATCTATGGATGTTACCCCTGGAGAACCCATCCAGGGTAACCGCATGCAATGGCAGGTCAGAATATTTGTGTTCCCCGCCATCCAAGGAGGCTTCCATAAATGCAGAGCTGACATATGATGATCCTAGGGCACTCAAGGAATTGTCCCATCATTCACATGACTAGTTAACTTCAAATCCGTATGTTGAGCTTCCCACTCATTTTCACTCTGGAGATCAACAGGCAGCAGCCCTCACATCTAGGACTTTGACGACCACTCAAGTGGGAACAACCTTCTTCAGCACCCTTGTTCGCTTCAGGACTCTTATTGCGACAGTATAGGAAAAGCATGCATATGGCATTGCTTGCTCTACTGGTCCCAACATTCCAACGAGTGGGGCCAATGATAGCCGACATATGAACGTTTCTGTCAATTAGTATGCATCGGTCACAACAAAATGGTGACTGAAATATTTTAACGTCTGTAACTGTTTACAAAGAGAGTCGCCGTGGCCGAGCGGCTAGACGCTTGTCGCGGATCTGAAGGTCGTGGGTTCGCTCCCTGGCCGAGCCGGACTTTTCTTCATAAAATGACCTTGGCTCCCAGGTCGACCCAGCCTTGAGTGGGTACCGGGTGCAATCCCTGGAAGTAGAGGTGGCCGGCGTGATGTTGACCAAATCACCTATCTTGTGCTGTTGGTCTATAAAAATATAGGTCTAGCCCTATATGCCCTATACGCCTAAAGGCGTGGAACAGGGTCCTTTACTTTTTTTTTTTATCTGTTTACAAAAATCCTAAACTTAGCAGTCTACCATGAATGTAACCTGTATTTCTGATGAGATAATGACTGCAAGAAGATTGTAGAAATTACCTGGTATAAACACTACTCTACAAACTAGGCATCCAGTGTAAGGTAACTATGCAGTGGATACAATCCCACTGTGGAGTTCCTGGAAATGAAACAGCTGATAAACTAGCTAAGGAAGTTGCAAATGAAGAACAACCTGATGTACCAGTCTCTTTTCAACAGAAGAAGAGAAAAAAAAAATCAACCAGAAAGCCACCAAAACTGGTACAAGACGATTACCATATTATAGACAGACCAGAGCAAGTCATTACTCTACACCTCAGAACAGGACACTACGACTTCACAGCCACATGTACAGAAAATTTAAAATTGGCCAATCAGCCATGTGCACATGTGGATTGGTACCTGAGACAACAGATCAAGTCCTCCAAGACTGTACCAAATACAACATATCAAGGCAAAACCTTTGGCCAAGAGAAACACCGGTGCAAGCCAAACTTTATGTGTCACTGAGTGAATTACAAAAGACAGTGAAGTTCATACTAGAGACATTATTGCAGATACAGATAATCTATTTCAAGCGAATGAAAGAAGAAGCAGATAATTTACAGTCTGCCTCTCCTCCACAGACATGTAAACATTTTGTTTGATTCTCAACTAAAAAAATCTGACAGTTCACCGTGAAAACAGTTCTAGTAAGAAAGCTCATAAAACCATCAAATGACTGCCAGAGAGAGAAAAAAATTCCATGATCATGTACGAATTTCATGAAGCTGGTTTCCTGCCAAACTTGTACTGATTAGACAAAATAAATCACGCCATTCTTGTGGTTTAAACACAGACCACCAGCTTAGTAAGCAGGCATTAATCCCCATTAAACCACGGCTCCACATTCACTAGTACATGTTTATAACAAACATAAAAACAATGCATTCACATTCACACACAAATATACTTACATCTAAATGCAAGTAAAGACCATACCAGAAAATGACAAAATAAAACACACCCCTCCAACTGAAAAGAAAAAACATAAAAGATAAAAGATGGCATTAATGAGACAAGACACAATGATATATATACAAAACTTATTCTATACTTCATATGAAAAATGTTACAGGTTTTCATATATATATATATATATATATATATATATATATATATATATATATATATATATATATGTGTGTGTGTGTGTGTGTGTGTGTGCGTGTGTGTGTGCGTGTGCATCGATCCTGGAAGAGCCCATGTGGGGAAACTGTGATAGTGTAAGTTATTGTTTGGTCCTGCAAGACAAAGTGAAACCTGCAATTCTTTAAAAAACGACAAGGACTGCTGTCAATGGAGGTGTTAATACTCCATAATTCCAGTCTTCATACAGCAATGACAACAGCAATGCGGCTTGGCATTCCGTTGCTTCCCCATCCTCCTTACAGGCCTGATCGGGTGCCATCAGATTATCACATCTTCAGCCCTCTGAAGGAAGCGCTGTGTGGTCATAGATTCAGGTCAGGTGATGCAGTCCAGCAGTTGGTGCAGATGTGGCCTCATAAGAAATAAAAAAGCTTCTGCGTTGACGGAATACAGAAGCTCAATGCACGATACCAAATGTGCCACCAGGTTATAAGGTCATGGGGTCAAGTGCAGTTTTGTGTTGTCTTATAAACTGAGTACCAGGTAATTTTCATAAATGTTATTTGTATCAGCTGGACATGTGCTGACACAGGAGTGATTCAACTGTGCATACTTTATAAACTGTACTTACGATGAGTCCAAATATTTCTTGAACACAGGAGTTCTGTGCTGATTCCGTCTAATCCTGAACCAGCGTTCAACCTGTCTTATGCTCATATCAGTTTCTTTTGAAAGAACCTGAAAAACATCATTTTTATATGTATAAATATAGATAAATATATGTCCCGGGAAGTGAAGGCGGCCGGCGGGATGCTGACTACATCACCCATTTTGTGCCAATTGGTCTATAAAAATATAGGTCTAGCCCTATATGCCTAAAGGTGTAGAAAAAGGACCTTTACTTTACCTATATATATATATATATATATATTAGGGCTGTACCAAATAGTGATTTTCAATATTCGGCCGAATACGAATAGCAGGACCAACTGTTCGGCCGAACACGAATACAAATAGTGCATTATCATCATCATGTGCCTTGCTGACTGGCAACAATTTGCAGCATGTATGAGTTCGTGTGCTGACACAACTCTATGCCATGCAATAAGAAGACTGTCAAGAATCTTCTCTCATTGTCTTCCTCTATTCATCCTTCTACAGATCTTTCCAGTGGTCACCACATGCTCCATTTTCCCTCTTCTCATAACATGGCCGACAAATGATGACTGTCTCTTTCTGATCTTTGTGATTAGTTGTCTTTGGGCTCCTGCCTCTTTCAAAACCTCTTGGTTGGTTTTTGACTGTCCAAGGTATTTTAAGCTTTGTTCTGTAGAACCATATCTCTGAGGCCTCAAGAAATTGTTTGGCCTGCCTACGGATTGTCCAGGACTCACAGCCATATGTTAAAACTGGATGTATGTAGCAAGCAAGAATTCTTTTTCTAACCTTCAATGATAAAGATATATTGCATAAGATGTTCTTCATTTTATAAAATGCAGTTTTTGCCTGTCCTATTCTGTTTCTTATTTCAGTAATGCATCTTCCATCTGATGTTATCAATGTGCCCAGATAATTAAATTTCTGTACTTGTCCTAAAATAACACCATTGACTTTTATACACATTCAGGAATAATTCTTTTCTTTGATACCACCATTACTTCTGTCTTCCCACTGTTCAAACTGAATTTTTAATAGTGTATAGTGTATAAAATAGATCTAAAAAAACCATTCATAATGTCAAATATATGCTGACATTTTACTTTAAAAAATGTAGTAAAACATTTAAAAACATTTTTTGTTTTGCATCCTTTAGTCAGTCAGTCTGTGGTTACTAATACCTAGGAATGAAAGTATTCTTAGTTTTATAAAAAGTAACTAAACTTGTAAATTGTCACTGACAGCTTAGTTAATGCATAAAAGCAGCTTAGGCAACAGCAACTATCGCAGTGAATGCAGAAACCGGTCTAAGGTAACCACTATTCGTATTCGGCCCGACCGCAAGTATTCAGCTGAATACCGAATAGTTATTAGGTCCACTATTCGGCCCCGAAGCGAATTTTCGGTACAGCCCTAATATATATATATATATATATACATATATATATATATATATATATATATATATATATATATATATATATATATATATATATATATATATATATATATATATAATATATGTATATGTATATATATATATATATATATATATATATATATATATATATATATATATATATATATATATATATATATATATATATATATATATATATACACACTTATAAATATACATATATAATATATATATATTATATACTAGCTGTACCCGGCCACGCGTTGCTGTGGCATAGTTTGGCTAAATGAAAATGAAAGAAAATAGAAATTGCACGTCTCTAATACAATCATTGTCTGCTCAGATATAGAGATAGTCTTTGATCTCCCCCCCCCCCCCTCCCACCACCATAACTAAATCCACCTACTACTCTCTCCCTCATCAAAGGTTTTCGGAAAAGAAAGACAATGGAAATCGCACATGTCTAATATAGTTAATGTCGCAATCATTTTCTGCACAGATATAGAGATAGTTTGGTTTTCCAACTTTAGAACACGCACCTTATAATTGTGTCTTTATATTATTGGTCGTTTAAATGGTGTTATTAGCACAGTAACAAAAATGGTTATTTGGTTATCACATGCTAAAGCTGTTTGTATTTTTATAGGGGACAAAAGTAAAGCTACAACTGTACTTGTGAAAAACAAAGTAAGTCGTAAAAAATAGAAAAGCGGAGGTAGCGTTAGTAAAATATAAACAAATTAGGTAATGAGAACTCAAAAATCACGTGTAAAGCTCTTTAAGTTCTCTTTAATTTAAGTCATTACCCCTCCCCTCCCCTCTTCCACCGACTACTGCTCTCTCCCTCGCCGAAGGATTTGAAAATCATTACCTGGCGACCCCCGTGTGGGTTCCGGGGCCCTATTGTGGGGAAAACAAGAATAGACCCACTGCCTCCCCAAAAGCATGTCGTAAGAGTCGACTAACTGGGGAGCTTCCTTTGAAGTCGGAGTGCATCTGCCTGAGAGGCAAGGAACCAGCAGTCTGCATTCAATTGAATCAGATCTGTAAAACTGATGCACATGCAACACTCAGGTTCTGGAGCATGACTGCAGTCCAGAAGTGGACGAACAACCAGAACTTTACGCCAGAGTGTACAGCTGGTGAACACAAAGAAGAAAGAAGAAGATTACCTGGCGATATTTTTTCTGTTGCTGTAACTGACATTGACATCCCTGTCCATCCGGACTAAAATGGGGAGCAGCAATTGCAATAGGTAGTGAATAGGGCTATTGTAATATTTACAAAATCATCTTTCAAGTACCAGTACAACTACTACCACGACCACCACCATAGTAGCTAAAATAATGTCACTGCTATCTGTGTTACCATCGGAGTAGACAGAGAGTCGTGAGCCAGAAGATTTGGTTCCGCATGGCTAGTGCTGTCGCCACAGACTGGTCAGGTTAGGATGTATAATTTCACTTGCCGACAGAAGAACGCCATAACCTTACCGGCGGTCTTCACATGAGAGCACTATGGTGTAACAGCCCAACCACAACTATTACTGCTGCTGCTACTTTAAGTGGGTAAAGCAGTTACTGTTACTCAAAGCTCTCTCAGTTAATAGTTTGCACCCCCCCCCCCCCCTTAAATTCACCGACAACTCTTTCCCTCATTGAAGTAGTTGGGAGGAAAAAAAAACACAGGAAAAGCAAATGAACACAGGAAAAAAACACCATAATTAGGAAATGAACGCTATGGTAAAGAGCACAGCTTAAAATTCCAACGCAGATGAAATAACTAAATCTAAATGAAAATAAATGGAAAGCTATGAAATTTCAGCGTAACCATGCAATCGGAAAGTTAAAAAATGCAATCATAAGTATGCGAAATGGTCACAACAAACATATCCTGAAAATTTCAGCTAAATCGGTTCAGTAGTTTCCGAGTCTATAGGGGATAAACAAACACACAAACATTGATTTTTATATATATAGATATATATATATATTGTTGTTGTTATCGATCCAGCGGCGCATGAGCTTTCGCCCTTTGGCCCAATGCCATGTAGTGGAATTTGCATGTTTTCACAAGCTGTTCTTTTCCTCCGTACAAGGTGTTCCACTTGTCTGGTCTCGGAGGGAGTAGCATTCTTCTAGTCTCGCTGAGTTTTGGGCACTCAAAGAGATGGTGTTCAACAGTGTCGTTGGGGTAGTTACATAGCTGGCACTCTGGAGAGTGTTGTGGCTGTATTCTGTTTAGATGTCCATTGAGTGGAGTATGTTGCGTTCTAAGTCTGAAGATGGTGGCCTGGTCCCTTCTTGTTAGATGATTAATGCTGTCATTAGGATCAGGGCCAGCCATGTGTCTATAAACCTCTCTTCCAGTGTCTCCCATGGCCCATCTGTTCATCCAAGTCTCTTTGTTTATAGCTCTTATAAGTGTTTTTGCAGTCTGTAGGGTTGTCGCTGTAGGTGGTTGTTCTTGTGTTGCTCCTTTCTTTGCCAATCTGTCAGTTCTGTCATTACCTGGTGTGTCGGAGTGGCCTGGAATCCACTGCATCACTATTCTGATGTTGTATGAGGTAATAAGCTGATCAGCATCCAAGATTTTCTTTGCTATGTCAGTTCTGCAGCGTTCACTGCCCTCTAGAGCTTGAAGGGAAGACATTGAATCTGTGAAGATGACAATATTTTGGGCCTTTGAAGGGTAAACATCCATAACAGTCTTTAGGTGGTATACTGCTGTTTCCAGTGCAATTATTTCGGCTTCATAATTTAAACAGAATTCCCCGGATGCATCAAAAATCTCTTCAACAGATCCATCGGGATAACCTATGTAGATTCCGTAACCTGCTTTAATGGTAGCTTTAAATGCAGATCCATCAGTATAAACATGTATCCATTCTTGGGGGTAAGAATCAACTGTCTTTAGTGATGAGTTCATAAGAGCGATTGGGTCGGACTGTTTGGTTTCCTCGCCTACCAATTTAATTTGGACTTCTGGAGCTTTAAAGCGAGCATGTGGTGGTAGGTTTCTTGCAACATTCTGAATGCCTTGACATCTTTCTGGGAGGTGGTATCTGTCCTGAATTTCATTAACACAGTATAAAACCGATTTGTGCTTTATTCTTTGTTTGTATTCCCAGTTTTTCTACAAGGTGTCTTTTAGGATGGTTACGATTCTTTCTAACGCATCTTTCATAAATTTCTAAAGTGGCTTTTTCTCTCCGCAACACGAGGGGTTCCACATTTGTGTGGATTTCACATGCAGCAGTTGGTGTAGACTGCATAGCTCCGCAGATTAATCGGAGGGCATTATTTTGTACTCTGTCAAGAGTCTCTAGGTTAGTTTTGGAGCAGGTTGTAAGCAGTGAGTTGTTGTACTCTATCACAGAGCGAACATATCCTAGATATAAGCCCCTCAGAGTTTCCTTGTCTGATCCCCATGATGTTACGTTTTCAATATGATTCTTGAGGCTGAGCCGGTCATGTGTGACTCCAAGGTATGTAGGATGCTCTTCTTTCATCGAGCGAATTTTCGGTACAGCCCTAATATATATATATATATATATATATATATATATATATATATATATATATATATATATATATATATATATATATATATATATATATATATATATATATATATATATATACACACACATACACATATATATATATATATATATATATATATATATATATACACACACACACATACACACACACATATAAATATACATACATGTATATAATATATATTTTATATATATATATACACACACACACACATATATATTTACACACATACATTTGAGGAGACTTTAAATGAAAACCTTAAAAGTGCGACAGAAATTATAATAACCAAGCCATTATCTTGAAACCTGTCTGTATTGCTAAGGATGTCAAGAGTGTTCAGAATGACATGGTGCAGAAAAACACAGTGATGTCATAATGATAATCTAAAGATGGCCACCCCACTTGTGACAGGCAGTGAAGGGTGAAACCTACAGAGCTTCATCAGTGAATAAAGGTCAAGTCTGGTGATGCATGCCTGTCAGTAAAGTAAGTTTATGAATAGAGTAGGACGTTTCAAAACAGCAGGACTTCTGTGACACTGACCCCCAGAGTCGGCGGAGGAAAAATGGCCGGCTGACTGTGAGTGACACACATCTTGACGTCATTCAAGGTTCAGGACACTACATCATCCATGATGTGCTACAGTACCATGATGTGGCTGCAATGTGGGTGCCACGTCAGCTTACCCCTAAACTGAAACACTGATGCATGGTAAACACTTCTGTAGTGTGTTGAAGCAGGAGGTTATGGTTCCTGTCAAGAACTGCGACTGACAGGTATGTATCACCATTGTGGGACTTCATTCGCTTATAAATTTCTAAAATCAAAGCGCCTGCGCCCAAAACACTGTACACATAAAGATATGGCTCTGACTTTACAGCTGCCCTGGTAAAACAGGCAGTCATGTTTGATCGTTCTTAAATTTGTACTTTAGTTATAAAGGATTCACTTATCTGCTTCATTTATGTAATTGTTACTGTAGTATGCACCTGACGAGATACAGTGAAATATGCCAGGCAATACATTTTACAATCTATTTTTTGTGTCTTCTTTGTTCCAATTTCTAAAAGTTGAAACCTTTCACTGTTGAAAAATGGACAATAGATCATTGTTCCTCTTTGGAGCACATCAAAAGTGGCATGGCCATCTTCAAACTATCATTAGGATATAACAGTGTCCATCTGCACCGTCAAGTGCTTAACACTCCTGACATCCTTTACAATAATGCTGACAAGTTACACGACAATGGCATGGTTTTTGTAAATTTCTATTACTTGAGATGATTTTCATTTGAAGCTCAGCTCATACAAAATATAAGTACATATATACATGAATCAATTTTAATTTTCCATTGGTTTTAATTGTGACTAGGTTGCTTGCACTATATCAAATGTTTTAACATGGCTCACCACTAAGTAGCCCTGAGAAGGACCTTGCAGTGTTGATGCGATCAAAAGAGACAGACCCAAATACTGTCCTGACTGACGACAGCATTTTTCTGTCCTCAAGCACTTCAGACGAAGTTGTCTAATTATCAGCCAATGGGCGGCCGGGTCGCCAATATGATATATGTTATCTCCTCATCTTCATTTGTCCAATTTTTTTTTTCATTTGACTGCTAGTCTCTCTCCTGCAGATTCAAAGGTCATGGATTAAAATCCCAAAATAGCTAGTCTTTTTTTTTTAAATGACCTTGGCTCCCAGGTGGACCAAGCCTTGAGTGGGTAAGGTTCATGGAAAGTAAAGGTGGCTAGCATGATGCTACCACATCACCCATCGAAATATAGGTCTAGACCTTTATGTCCAAAATGCCACAAGACATGGAAAAGGGTTCTAAACTAATTTCTTTTTTCTTTTCTTTAGTTGCATTGTGCCTATTAACAGCAGAACTGATTCATTTGCTTCTTTTCACAGACATATTTCATACTGCAGGAAAAGTCTCTATAGAAGAGAGCAATTATGTTGACTATTTTTTCTGGAATTCCATAATGTCGTAAAATTTTCCATAGACCGTCTATGGATGCTGTCAAAAGCTTTCTCAAAGTCCACGAAATTAATATATATACTTCTCTCCCATTCATTGCATTGTTCTAAAATGTTACGTATAGCGAATATGTGCTCAGTTGTTCCTCTGCCCTTTCTGAATCCTGCTTGTTCCTCTAGTAGGCATTTATCTATTCCTTTTTCAGGCCGCATTTTGATGATTTTACAAAATATTTTGCTTGGTATTGAGAGTAGAGTAATTCCCCTCCAATTATTGCAGTCTGTTAAGTCTCCTTTTTTGGGGATTTTGACTATTGTTCCTTCAGTCCAGTCATCAGGCAACACTTCTTTTTCCCATATATCCTTGAACAATGGTTCTAGAATGCTAGCAGTTTTGTTGGGATCTACTGTGAGAAGTTCTGCTGGAAGTTGGTCTTTGTCTGGTGCTTTGTTGTTCTTTAAAGTGTGGATAGCTTTAAGGATTTCTTGTTTGCTTGGTGGTTCAGTAATAATGTCAATGTCCTGAGAGGCTGGTTAAATATCTGGGGGATTTTCAGGAGGATGATATTCGTCTATCATCTGAAGGTGTCCTCCCAGTTGTACTATCTTCAATTTAGCCACCAATAGTTTTTAAGTGTTGTCTTTATTTTTTAATGTGGCCGAAATATTTCACCTGTCTCTTTTTATGACCTGACAGCTGTCATGGTGCTGCGGCTATACTGCTATACACATGCCAGCAGATCGGAAGGTCGATGGTTCGGGTCCTGATGGACAAAAAAAGATCCTTGGCTCTTAGGTCGACCCAGCCTTGAATGGGTACCATGTACAGTCCTGTGAATTACAAGTGTCCGTTGTCGGCGCGATGCTGACCACATCACCCACCAAGTACCGACTAGTCTATAAAAATAAAATATAGGTTCAGCCCTATTGGCCCAATACACTTAAAAGGTCCTTTGTCTTTACTTTCATTTTTTTTTTATGCCGTCTCTCCGTAAGCAATTGTTTTGTTTTCATGAAAAAATATTTTTTTTTCTGTATGTTCATCGCATTTCCACCGTGTCTGGGTCGCCGAAGACCTAATTTCATGACTGCTTCATACACATTTAGAGACAGCGTATTGAGCATGTTAGCTAAAGGATGGAAGAGTAGTTACCAGGAGTTCAAACACCCTAGTTACGTTAACATTAACTTAACATGGTTAACAAAAAAATCAAAGTAGTTTCCTACCTATAAAAAGTGTGTCACTATACCTAATTGTCAAATGTCACAGTCACACCACCACCCTAAAGATACTTTTGTTTCCTCCAGTCATTTCGTTACTTACCTTTCGAGTGAATGGCGGAGAAGGAAAACAACGACTGACAGATAGATTGGGACAAGTAAATCGGACATCTGTGGGTGGTAAATCCCATCATCTTTGTTTTTAAGATCATCCCAGGTATAGTTACCCGGTAACCAAAACGACTTTGCAAAAATAATGTCGTTAACCGACTGCCAGAACGCCGCCATGGTTATTTGCCGTTCCAAACATCAGTCCAGATTTTTATGATGGTTTTATTCAAAATAAGACGGTGTGCTAAATACTCAATTTTTCTTCTCTCCTGCATCTATAAATATTATTTTACTAATACATAATATATATTACTAATACATAATACATATTAGTAGTGCAGTTAGTGTATTGTCTATAAAACGAGAAGTAAGGTGGGTTAATTACCCCGCTGGCCTATGGAACACCTTTGGGCAAGGGGGAGGAGCATAAGGGTGAAACAATGGAAGCAGGAATGGGTTGAATTTGAGAGCAGTCGACAGACTGATGGTCCAAACACGACCGGCTCTAGCTGACAAAGGTGGTGACAATGGCAGTCACGTAACTAGTATGGACACAGCAAGAGAGAAATCAGTGGCAAATTAATTTCTTCAAAGAGGTCAAAGAAATGCATGATTCGACATCTGGTACACAGAAGCACCAGTGATTCGACACTCGATACATAGACGGACAGAAGCACAAATGAATCAGTCTTTCAGAAGCAACTAAAAACTAAACTAATTTGTTTCCTATGAATTTGTTTTTATAATAAATTCACCATAAATGTACGTTCTTCTTCTTCCCGATCACTGGCTGTAAACTCAAGCTGAAAGTTCTGGTTGTTAGCCCACTTCTGGACTTGTTCCAGTTTTGTTCCAGAAACTAAGTGTTGCGTGCACATCCATTTTACATATCTTGATTATTTTTATGCAGATTATTAGTCCATTGCCTCTCATGCAGATGCACTCAGACTTGGAAGAAAACCGTCAATTAATCGACTCTGTTTTTTTTTTTTTTTTTTGGTAGGCAGTCTATTTCTGACCCCCCCCCCCCCCCCAACAATGAGACCCCAGAACCCACACGAGGGAAATGTTCTTTTAAATCCTTTTGACTCTTAGTGCTGTTTGTAAGCCACTCTTAATTTAAACTTTTATTACTGGATATAACAAGTACTTGACAATTTAAACTGATAACTGCATGAATCTAAATGAGTTAAAGAAATTATACAGAAGTCAGTATTTGTTGACTGCCTTATGTGAGGAAATAAACTTCAAAACGTTTGGGACATCTGGCAAATGTAAGTGCAAAATAAGAAGCAAGGAGTTAGTTGCGTATCCTTTGCATGGCTCAATAAACCAACCCCATCATGTTTTGACTGTCTGTGATTTCTACTAGTCAATGGTGTCATCATCGTCATCATCATCAGTTCTCGTTATGCCTAGTGTCACATCAGGCTTCAGAGAGGACTTTCCATGCTTTCCTGTCCTGTGCAATTTTCAGTGCAGTTTTCCATGTCAACGATGCCGCACTCAGGTCACTTTCCATCGTTCGTCTCCGTGTTGTTTTTGGGCGCCCCTGTTTTCTCTTTCCCTCTGGTGTCCATGTGAGAGCTGTTTTGGCAGGTATATCAGAAGTCATTCTCATAACGTGGATAAGCCATTTCCATCTTCTCTTGGTAATCAAACTGTCTAAAAATTCTTGGTTTGTGGCTTGAAGTAGTTTAGTGTTTGAGATTGTATCTGGCCAGAAATTTTTTATAATTCTACGTAGACATGTGTGGTGGAAGGTGGACAGCTTGTGTGTATCCTTTTTTGGTCATTCTCCAGCATTCCGCTCCATAAAGAAGAAATGGCAAAATGATGCTTTTGTAGAGTCAGAGTTTCGTTCCTCTACAGTATTTGTTGGATTTCCAGATTTGCCTCATCCTTCCAAAAGCATCTCTAGCTTTGTTCAGACGTGACTGTATGTCTTCCTCTGTCCCTCCCTGTAGGGACACCACACTGTCAAGATATGTGAAATGTTCTACATTTTCAAGTGATTCGTTACTTATGGTCACTGGTTGTTGGTTTGGACTGTTTGTCATGATCTTAGTTTTCTTTGTATTTATTCTCAGTCCTACCATTTTTGCTGTGCAGTTTAGTCTGTTACTTTTCTTTTGTATATGTTCATGTTTATGTGATAGGAGTGCTATATCATCTGCAAAATCAAGGTCCTCAAGCATGGTGAATGGAGTCCATCGTATGCTTCTTAATGTCCTGTCTATTGTATTCTTTAGTAACCAATCAATCACAAGGTTGAAGAGGAGAGATGACATAACACATCCCTGTCTTACACCCGTCTTTACTGGGAAAGATGTATCGTAATTTTTTATACTGCAGGAAAAGTCTTTATAGAAGAGAGCAATTATGTTGACTATTTTTTCTGGAATACCATAATGTCGTAAAATTTTCCACAGACCGTCTCTATGGACGCTGTCAAAAGCTTTCTCAAAGTCCACAAAATTAATATATATACTTCTCTGCCATTCGTTGCATTGTTCTAAAATGTTACGTATGGCGAAGATGTGCTCAGTTGTTCCTCTGCCCTTTCTGAATCCTGCTTGTTCTACTCGTAGGTATTTATCTACTCCTTTTTCAAGCCGCATTATGATAATTTTACAAAATATTTTGCTTGGTATTGAGAGTAGAGTAATTCCCCTCCAATTATTGCAGTCTGTTAAGTCTCCTTTTTGGGGATTTTGACTATTGTTCCTTCAGTCCAGTCATCAGGCAGCACTTCTTTTTCCCAAATATCCTTGAACAATGGTTCTAGAATGCTAGCTGTTGTGTTGGGATCTACTTTGAGAAGTTCTGCTGGCAGTTCGTCTTTGCATGGTGCTTTGTTGTTCTTTAAAGTGTGGATAGCTTTAAGGATTTCTTGTTTGCTTGGTGGTTCAGTAATAATGTCAGTGTCCTGAGAGGCTGGTTGAATATCTGTGGGATTTTCAGGATCAGGTCTGTTCAAGAGGTCGGAGAAGTGTTTAGTCCACTGCATGTCTGGTTTTTTTTTTTTTTTTTTTTTCTGTGGTGAGCCATGGCCAAACTTTAGTAACTAAAGTTTGGCCATGGGTGAGCAGTCTGCCTTGGTTATCTCTGATGGGTATGCTGTGATAATTGTTTCTGTTTCCGCAAATTTGATGGGTAATTTTGTGTAGGGTTTGTAGATCATGTGCTTTAGCAGCATTTTCTGCTGTTTCTGCAAGATTTTCCATAAATTTTCTCTTGTCAGCTCTGGCACTTTTCTTGGTCATTTAGTTAGTTCGCTATATTCTAACATTAGTTTGTCTTTCTGAGGCTCTTTATTCTTTTTCGCTTGGCAATATAGTCCATGGTTTGACTACTTATCCATTCTTTGTGGTGTTGTTTCCTGGTTCCTAATATGTTATTGCTAGTTGATTTGTATGTTTCTTTGATCTGGTTCCATCTGTCTTGAATGCTGATTGTAGTTGGAGCTTCTGGGTCACTTGATAGGGTTTGAAATCTATTCCTGAGTTCTACTATAAATTTAGTATCAATGTCTTTTTCTCTTAAAAGGTTAACACTGTAACGTGCTGTCTGTGTCTTAACTTGCGTGTAAACTTTTTTGAGTTTAAGTCGTAGTAGAGCGACTACAAGGTGATGGTCGCTTCCCACATCTGCTCCCCTTTTGACACGCACATCGAGTGGGGACCCACGCCATTTTCTGTTTACCGTGAAATGGTCGATCTGGTTTACATCTCTTCTGTTTGGGGATATCCATGTGAGCTTGTGTATATTCTTGTGAGGAAAAAGTGTTCCACCTATAACAAGTCTATTCGCCGTGCAGAAGTCGCCCAGTCTTTCCCCGTTGTCATTAATTGTACCACATCCTTGATTTCCTATTGATAGTTCTCTATTCAAGTTGTTGGTACCAACTTTTGCATTGAGATTTCCCATAATGCATAGAATATCATGGGCTGGTACTTTATCTACTACCTCTTGCAGTCTCCTATAGAATGTTTCTTTATCTTCATCTTCAGCTTCATTAGTCGGTGCGTAGCATTGGATGACTGTAAGTTTGGTATGTTTGCCATTGAATCGTGCTGTCATTATTCTTTCATTGATTGGATGTCGCTCGATGAGATGTTTGTGTATAGCTTTCTTTAAAATAAGTGCCACGCTTGCAGAATGTAGGTTATCATCTCTTCCAGAGTATATTATGGTTTCTCCTGTACCTGTTGTGGATTGTCCAAACCCTGTCCGCCTGCTTTCACTAATTCCAAGAATATGCAGTTTATAGTTCTGCATTTCTTTAATTACTTGGGCGGTTTTGGCCGTTTCAAACATGGTTCTTACATTCCAGAAGCCAATTCCTAATTTGGTTTTGACATCCAGCAGACTTGTTTTCCCATCATGGGCTTCCTTTCGGCTTTCACCCATGTTGTTCATGCTGACAGAGTGACTCTGTCCCAAGACCACCGGACGTTTAGAGCACTTATTTGCTCTTGAAGTTTCAGTAACGTTGTAGATTTTTTACAGGGCAGAGCTGTCAACACTCTCTCCAATGGTGTGTTCACTAGTTTTGCCTTTGCTTTAAACGAATGTTTCCCACTTTTTTTTTAAGGGAAAAAAAAATCGCACAGTGCTCCCTCTGCTTGAAATATCATCATCATGTGCCGCGCCGAAAAGCATATGCGGGCATCATTCGCTATTCCAATCGAGCCTTGAAATGTACTTTCTTCAACCAAACAAAACAGAATCATAAAATGGCAGTTTTGTTTTGTTTCGTCTTTTCCCCCCTCGACTCACAGCATACTGGTTTGTAATTTTGGTAGTCTTCTCTCCAGTTCAGCTTTATAGATTGCTTTAACAATGTGTGGCGTGTTAAAGCTCTGCGACTGATGAGCAACATACAGTTTCCTGTAGCCTTCTAAGATCTGCCTTTACGATCTGCCTTTCTTTTTCTGGGGTTTTTTGTTTAATCTTTGCTTGAATAATCATTTGCGTATTCCTTTAAAAAAAATGTAATAAAAATCGGAGCTGCTGTGGTCTAGCTGCTAGACGATCGATTGCGGATCTGAAATTCGTGGGTTCAGTTTCTGAAGAGGGCCGGACTTTTGAAAAAAGTAACCTTGGCTCCCAGGTCGACCTAGCCTTGAGTGGGTATCAGGTACAGTTCTTGCAAGTAAAGGTGGCGGGTCTGA